AAAGTGTTGTTAAATCCTATTGACTAATATCCAAAATTCTCTATAGCATAGTGTTCTAAACCTACTTTTGAATCTAATTTGCAATTCCATTAACTAACCTCTATGCATAATTGAACAGCCGCCATATAGAAGAAAAACTAGTAATGAACATGGCATGCCCACATAATTACTTCTTATAACTAGACCTTCAAACATAAGGCAATAGAAACCAATTTTGTATTTTATAAAATTTTCACCGATAATGAAACAACTCAATTGGTTGAGTGTCCAAGGTATTAGAAGAGTTCTATCTTGTTCATAAACAATCTCAAAATAATTGACATGAATACATTTGCCCCACACGCCTACGACCTTATCCCTTAAATGATTCTACGTCAAATCTACATCGTAGTACGGAGAGATCCCTTCTAATAAAACGTTTCGTCTTCAATGAAGTTGAATGCTTGATGGACAACAGTCAAGCCACCATGCAACTATAGCAAGTCAATGCATCACCAAATAAAAAATTCCTAAATTTTTTTCCCACTCACCAAACTTAATCTGAAATTCAAGATTTAAGTGTCGTTGAAGACAATTCGAGTTTGCTTCTGTGCAAGTCATAACCAATGTCATAGGCTTCCCAAATTTTCTCTGTGTATCACAACCAATGCATTCTCTATCACAACGTATCACTCAAAGAGTTGGACAACATAATGATAATCTAGCATATCAAAGTCACACGAACAAGTGAATACAAGTGATGTGCCAAGTTACAAATTTTATGTTAGATGATGTAACCGTATTGACTAATTATGTACATAATGATACTAGACAATTGCAAACAATCATCAACTTGTATTTTACCAAAATGAGAATGACTTGAAATATATAGCAATTGTCTCCCTTTTTCATTCATTCACACATTTATTATAAAACTTATGGTTTTAGAACACCATGAAAATTAGTTGTTGATCATACTTGGAGAATTGTTTGAATATTTTCAAGTAAACATTTGAAATAATTTTGATGGTCATTAACTTGTATGCTTTTGAAAGCTCACAGTTAAGCATGGGACGGAATGCTTCACAGGTGGTATGCGAAAGTAAGACCTCATCCAGTGCTTTCTAAAGCTAAGTGAGTAGGTTGCAACCTTGTTGCTCTTCTTTCTTTCCTCACTGGCAAGAAGCTCTTTGTTCCACCAAATATGTTGTTATATTCCATAGATATAGTACCTTCAGAATCCAATGAACTGTGATACCCTAATTATTTTTAAATACGTGATTTAGTTATGAAATTCAAATTAATTGATGATTATGGATTCCAAGTGGAGGGAAATGTGAAATCCTATTTTCGGATTTTATTATAAATTAAGTATTATGTGTCGTATTTAGAGTTACGACATATTTATATTTACGGCATTTAATTTTTCGATCAATTAAAATGATGAAATGCCCCTAGTTGGCTAAACAGAATTATACAATGACATATTCTATTCTTATATGTTTCATAATTTTTCTTGGCATATTTGAATAGAGGTCGATCCTACGAGCGCGTAGGCAAAGACTGTTGGCGAATCGAAGTTGTAATGAAAGAGAAATTAATTAACAAAGTTGGGGATATTTTTATTAATTCCCTCCATTTTAAAAGTGGATTTCATGGTTTGTTTGTGAGGGGAACTCTCGAGAGGACTCTCTCATTCTCTCCCCCTTATCTTTCTCATCCTTCCGGGACACCACCCACTTGACCACCACCACGGTGTCCTTCATTGAATCCCCACCTTCAATCTCTTTGTTCTCAGTCTTAGACACTCGCGCCGAGGTGTACCCGCAATTTGTCATGCGACTTCTCTGTTTCTAGTAAGAATATCATGTTATTCACATCTCTACCTCATCCATGCTTCATTATTTTCTGATTTGGAGGTAGGGTTAATGGGTTTATCAATTTTATTTGTATTTTTCTTGGAAAATGAATTTTGGCTTGGTGCTTATGAGTTTCTTTTATTCTCCTCTTCTTTTGATTGTTTTATTTGTCTGGATGGAGTCGTTGCTTGATTTGGGGAATTTCCCTAACCCTAAATCTATAATCACAAAGGCAATAAACAATCTCAAAAGAGTTATGTCTTGTTTTGTTTTATTTGTTTGGATGGAGTTGTTGCTTGAGTTTCTTTGATTCTCTTCTTTTGAGTGTCCAAGGTATCAAAAGAGTTTTGTCTTGTTCATAAACAATCTTAAAAGAATCAACATGAATACGTTTGCCCCACACGCCTACGACCTTATCCCTTAAATGATTCTACGTCAGATCTACATCGTAGTACAGAGAGATCCCTTCTACTAAAAAGTTTCGTCTTCAATGAAGTTGAATGCTTGATGGACAACAATCAAGCTACCATGCAATTATAGTAAGTCAATGCATCTCTAAATAAAAAAAATTCCTAACTTTTTGTTCCTACTCAACAAACTTAATCTAAAATTTAAGATCGAAGTGTCGTTGAAGACAATTCAAGTCTACTTTTGTGCAAGTCATAACTAATGTCGTAGGCTAACTAAACTTTCTCTATGTATGTCTATCACAATCAATGCATGCTCTATCACAACCCACCACTCAAAGGGTTGGATGACAGAAGGAGGATGTAGCATATCAATAGTCACACGAACAAGTGATTACACGTGATGTGTCAAGTTACTAATTTCATGGTAGATGATGTTAACATTAATACTAACTATGTACATAATAATACTAGACAATTGCAAACAATCATCAACTTGTATATTACCAAGATGAGAATTGTTGGAACCAAATTCGCACACCTCCATAAGCGGTGGTCGAGCACAATTTTGACCAACCAGCAAAACAGTGAAATAACCGTGAGCAAGCCCAAGGTTGGGGGAGCGGGTGTGCCGGCCAAAGACTCTTCAACGGTCAAGTTAGTGAATGATTTTAGACTCAAGTAGTGGGCAAGAGAATTTAAGTGTTTAAATTACGTTACCATAGATGAACCCTAGATGGGTGTATTTATATCGCAGGGAGAGAGATCTTTTTAGGTGGAATCCTCATTCCAAGCTGAGAGAATCCTAGAGGATATAAGAGTAGATATTGCATCATCTTAGGAGTTGTGATTACTTGCGGCGCATACCAATTCTTAGATTGTAGGGACTTTAATACTTATAGGTCTGATTATGTCTAATCCGGATTAGATTGTGTGTCTTACGGAACAAGCATGGTCATTTAGCGGAGTCACTAGAACTCCACCTAATGCCCCGGAGCAGAGTGATGGTGACACCGCTACTCTATTTGATACAACTCCGCTTGGAGCTAGTGAGTCCATGACCAGACTTCTAAAGCCTATATTCGAATCAGACTTACTCCGGTCTTGGAAAATCATGGCCCCACAACAACTAAAATAAAATAGGAATTAACCCAAACAAAAACATCATGGGCGGCCATAGATAGAGGAGGAGATGGTGAACTTATTACAAGTTTGCCACTCACTTATAATGATTATGAAAGCAACTTTATAGCTTCATCCCTCATCAGGGATTTCTAAAAGGCAAAAGAGAGAAAACATTGCTCTCTCTTTTTCTTCAAAGAGGCCAGCCCTTGGGGAGGGAAATCTAGCAATCTCTTCCTCCCTTAGTCACTCATCTTCTTCCTTCATCACCTTTGGTGTCAGAACTTAGAGGCCCTGGCCTTCTCATTGGAGGCTTTTGGAGAATCCATTCCTCCATCCAAATCCAAGAACACATGGAGTCAAGAAGCTACTTTCCTCCATCCATATCCCTAAAGCCGGAGCAAGGAGATGAAAGAAAGAAAGCCCTCACATGAGTGATTAACCTTTACTAAGCAAAGATGTGCTTCAAAGGTACATAAATTTCTCAACTCTTTCGTGATTTGGGTTGAGTTGTGGTTCACCACCAAATTAGGTTTTGAATTTCATGATTTAAATTTTGTTTTAAAGTGCATACAAGTATGTTTCTTCCATTTAATTGTTAAATCGTGTAATATGTCACTTAATTAATTTAGTTTCTCAAATATTTTCCTTTGCTTGACCCCCACCATTTTCGTTGCCATCATTGCCACCACTGCACCGACCAACAATCTCCCCCACCATGTTACTTTTTTGTCATTAGACACAACTATAATTCTTTTACATTAAAATTTGTCAAATGCTTTGACACTATTTTTCATACTTACAACACTTATAAAAATACAATTTACTATACGCCAATCACTTTATTTGATTATTATTAATACAGAACAAAAACAATTAAAAAAAAAACACAACGTCACAAACCTGCCACATGAATAAAAAGCGCACAGATTGACAGCGTAGGACAGGGGTATATACGTCAATCTAGCGTTTCAAAATAGAAACACCGCACATACAGCCATGGCGTCGTATGCCTTATCCTCTTCAATCCCCCCAATTGCTTCGCTTCCACCGCTGCCGTTACACTAAAATGGCAACTTTACATTTACACAGCGCCCTAGCTAACCCGACGCCGTTCAAATCCACAAACACCCAGATTTCAACTCGGCGAGAGCCACCCAGGCGCCGAGCCAACTCGGTCAGGTGCGGCGAGGCAACTCAGGTCACCGGCGAGACCCACCGAGTCACGGTGAAGAACGGGAACGATTCTCTGGACATATGCCGAGTACTGAACGGAATGTGGCAGACGAGCGGTGGCTGGGGCAGAATCGACCGAGACGACGCCGTCGAGGCCATGCTCCGCTACGCAGACGCTGGCCTCTCCACCTTCGACATGGCAGACCACTGTAAGTCGAATAAAGTCAAAACCCCAATTTTCACTAAGGGATGTGCTTACGTGGAAACTATTTATTGGTTGACCTGGAAATACAGTAGCATTAATTTACAATAGTACCCTTGGATAATATGTGAATTTGTTGTATTCTGGTCCAAATATGTGAAAATATGCAACAAGATAGGGGCTTATGTGTAAAACTGCAACACCTTGCAAAAACCCAATAGTTTAGAAAATAAATAAAAGTAAATCAATGGTGGAGGAGAAGCTGGAGAGCTACTGATAAGATAATCTTTGCTGTGTGTGAAATTGATGTAGAAGAAGAGAAACCGGGTTTGTTTCGATTTATTTGCATTATTTAGGCTGTCCAATTTGCAATGGCAGAGTTGTTGCACCATAATTCTCTAAGCAAATTTACGTTTAGTTCGATCAAGAAAGGAAGAACAACCAAAAGAATTCAGAAACTCAGCTGGAGGCCAGTTCAGGGTGTGCTAACTGAAGATAACCGACAGGCCGTGGTTAAGAATGGCAAGGATTCGCTAGAAATATGTCGGGTTGTTAATGGGATGTGGCAGACGAGCGGTGGCTGGGGTCAAATTGATAGAGACAATGCAGTTGATGCTATGCTTAAATATGCTGATGCTGGACTCATCACTTTTGATATGGCAGATATATGTATTGTACTCAATTATCAATAGCTCGTTGCTTGCGTGCTGTGCTTGTATATATGCGCATGGGTTATCATTTCTCATCCGAGTGTGTCACATTTAAGAGTCATATATATTATTTTAACCGAAAATATTTGTGTGATTGTGATCCAATTGCTAGTGAGGTTCTCGCTGTTAACTCTTTCTAGTGAGCTCGGCCCTAAACTACACAGTTATATACCATTTTTGTGTATTTATTGGATGGTTGTTAGTAGTGGTTGAACTGTTTATCGTTGTGAATAGATCCCAGGCGGTTAATCCTTTTTTTTTCTCTGTTTCTTATTTGTGAATTTACTCGTAGAGTTGGTAGTGATTCATATAGTTTGGGATTTTGTAGATGGACCGGCTGAAGATCTATATGGCATCTTTATCAATCGAGTTCGTCAGGAGCGTCCACCAGAGTACTTGGAAAAGGTCAGAGGGTGAGTTTCTTCCACTTGATAGGTTGTAGATTGTAAGGATTACTGGCCAGCTATTGTTTTGAAGCCTTCGACATATGGTTGCATAGAGCAATCCTTTTCATGCAGAAACTGATTAACTCCCTATATTTAAGTCAGAGTGCAGAATGGAAAGTCTTACAGTTTTGTTTTCCCCACTAATTGTGATGCAGTCTTACGAAATGGGTGCCACCGCCTGTTAAGATGACAAGTAGTTTTGTAAGGGACAGTATTAATGTTTCACGAAAGAGAATGGACGTGGCTTCCTTGGACATGCTTCAGTTTCATTGGTATGAATTTCTTTTCTCAATGCAAGATATGGCAACCTTTTCATCATGTGTTGTTCGAATTTGTATTTGTATAACATGCTCCATCGGAATCCAAGTGGTATTAAGTGAATGACTTTTGAGGGTGAATTTCTCTTTCTACTTGCAATAGGTGGGATTATGCAAATACTGGTTACCTTGATGCACTAAAACACCTTACAGATTTGAAAGAAGAAGGTTAGTGTATTACCGACATTGTAACTTGAATTAAACATCGACTATCATTTCAAGGTTTCATTGCATTACTTGAGCTACTGGTTTGCAGGTAAAATTAAGACAGTCGCCTTGACAAATTTCGATACAGAGAGGCTACAGATAATCCTAGAAAATGAGATTCCTGTTGTAAGCAATCAGGTATATGCTTCGTGTAGTATATTATTTGATTTTTCTCATGGTAATATGCTTTGCACCTCCTTGTGCTTTATAATCACATTCATACAACGTAATCAGGTCCAGCATTCCATTGTCGATATGCGTCCTCAACAGAAAATGGCAGAGCTTTGTCAGCTCACTGGAGTCAAACTTATAACGTCTCTCTCTCTCCCTCTCTCTCAAACTTGTTTTTCACGATACGTTGTATAGCTGCTGTAGCCTTTTCAGGAGTTAACATAGCACTTTCTGTTGCAGGTATGGGACAGTAATGGGCGGTCTATTATCTGAAAAGTTCCTCGATACCAACTTGAACATTCCTTTTGCCGGGCCTCCATTAAACACTCCCTCCCTCCAAAAGTACAAACGAGTATGGAGTCTTGAACTTATTGACGCTAACACTTTAATTCATTAATATGGTTATTAAGATGTGCCCCAGGATGTTGGTAAGTCAGCTTTAGATACAAAATCCAGCAAAGGATTGTGGGTGGGGAATAAGCTTAATTAGTTGGTGTTTATCACTCATATTTTGTGTGCATTTTATCTGTTTTGATCCGTTCTTACTCGATTTGTAACGTGAGGCAGATGGTTGATGCCTGGGGAGGTTGGAGTCTTTTCCAAGCTCTTCTACAGACACTCAAAGGCATCGCTACTAAACACGGAGTCTCCATTGCTAATGTTGCGGTGAAATACGTTCTAGATCAGGTAAAGTTCAACTAATCTGAAGTTTTTGGATTCTGTTTAACCTCGGAATTCTTTTACATCAGTTGCACTAAGTCATGATTTGAGTATGTCTGGCTTGTAAAAAATTGCAGCAAGCAGTTGCAGGATCAATGGTAGGTGTTAGACTCGGGCTGTCGGAACACATCCAAGACTGCAATGCTGTGTTCTCACTTGCTCTCGATGAGGAAGATGTAAACAGCATAAAAGAAGTCACAAAGAAAGGGAAGAATCTCCTTAAAGTGATTGGGGACTGTGGAGATGAATACCGGCGTTGATGAGATTATACAAATTATACTCCAATCGTCCCGTCAGACTTTTCGTTACGTAAGTGGGAGCGAAACGACATTTTTCGTGTATTAGAAGAGTATCACTACATTGGTATAGAATTACCATGACACAGTAATATGTAACTGTCAAAGGTTTGTGAACTATTTTCCAATCACTTTAAGCCAAAAATTCAACTTTTCAACACTGTAAAAAGGGTCTGTAATTTGAAATCTTTTGACAAGAGCAGCACTAAGGGCTCAAGCTGTCTCGTTTGGGGGCATCTTTAGACCCCAACCATATCCTTTCTCCAGACCTTGTTCGGACACCCCGATTCTAACCCGTGTGGCACGAAATGTACAAGTTGCCGGTTGCAGCAGAGATACTTTCACGTAATGGATTTCGCTATAGACAAGGAATTCCAAAATGCATAGAACTGCGAATGGCACGACGCCTCTTCCCAAAATGGAATAGATGTATACATATATGTACCATGTGTATATACACATCAAGATATCTAGACTTTTCGCGGTAACAATGTAATCAACCAATAACTTCGTTGCTAAAACAAAGCTTGAACAATTCTGGCTGGTTTGACAATTCAGTACAGGATTGGAGGTATAAATCCCTCCTATCTTAGTTTCTGGATTTTAAGAGAAAAACATTCACCCATACAAACAACATACTCGAGTAAGAACAGGAACTTCTTTTTGGCTAAATCTACCGTCTTGTCAACGTCTCAGAGTCCCAACAAAAAGCTTCACCTGCCAGAAACAATGAAAGAGATTACAATTCTAAATGTTGGAAAGGATCATATTTTGTGTCGCATATGCTTTGGGACTCGACAACTCACACTTGGAGTCTCGTAGTTGCAAATTAAAAGAACGTGAACGAAATTAATACAACAAAATTGCACAGGAAGACATGCCAAAAAAGGTGAGCGCCAATGAAGAATTCAATTTCAACTTCTAAAAGAATGACATCCTTTCTTAGATTTACTCGAGAAACATTATTTTGTTGCCTTAATTATCAGGATTTTAATTTGTGTTGACTTGTTATGTTATATAGATTATAATCTCACACTAAAAACTAACTGATTTTGTTGTTGAAAAGATGCAACACAATAGCAGCTGGAATGAAAGTGAAACCTTACGATGTAGTCTGTGTTGAAGCTGGAGGTGAATCTGATGGTAAAGGAGGCTGGTAGATGCGTGCTTTGGTGAGGATTTCAGCCACAACCCAATGTTTGCGCTTGCTCAGAGGCCTCGATGGATCCAATCGAACCTGATTAAATAGTTTGCTTAAATTTAAATTAATAATAACTAAATAACTAGAGAGAGAGAGAGATAAAGACATACTCGGTCACCGATGTTGCAATGATTCTGCTCATCATGGGCCATGAACTTGGAGGTCCTCTTCACGTATCGGTTGTAGAGCTTGTGATGGAACAGCCTGTCCACTGCCACCACCACCGACTTCTGCATCTTATTGGAAACTACCATCCCTACCACCGTCTTCATCTCTTTTAAACCCTAATGAACAACAGCTGACCACTGACCCTTGAGCATCTCACATCGAACATATAATCAAACTCATAATCAGATCAAACCACAGTTAGCCCTAAACTGTACCGTCCAACTAGCTCACAAGTGAACTAAAACGGTTCTTAGTTCTATATCGTATTTCTCGGCATAACTCCAGAATTCAATTCAAGTCAGTGCAATTCCTTTGATAACGAGTTATTGAACCGACAGCATAGGAGCTCAATGATATCCATTGCTCAGCAAAAACATTCAATTGATTTGGTAGCTATCAACGAATCAAAAAACAACGCTGCAATCCTTCTTAACAATCGCATTTTGAAAAATACTTGGTACATATGAAACATTCATCCAGAAATAATCATGTCAAGCCAATGGATTGAAATATTGGATTCTTACTTCTCTTACCCTAATTCGAGTCGCAAATGAGGTTTTCCTATGCAAAGAGAAAGTACAAATATACTAACAAAAATTTCAAAATTCACTGGAGAACAACAAATTATCATCATTAATTTATACCACACCCATCAAATCTCCAGTAAGTGCTCATCATCACAAGATTTCAGTAATATTTCATGTTTTTCTCCAAATTTAAACCACGGAAATATGGAAAATTCGGAGAAATTGAAACCTTACCTGCAAAACTGCGACAAAGCAATGCAGTGGTGGCTCGAGAGCGGAAGACGACGGAAGAAAGAGTGAAGAATCGGGCCTTCAGGTGGCGGACGGCGAATTGAACGGATCGAAATTTGATAGAAATCGTCAGTGGCCGACGGAGAAGATAGTGATGAAATGAAATAAGAGAGACTGCGAAGTCTTAAACCTTTCGAAAACAAAATAAAAAAAATATAAAAGGTTTTATAATTGGGTAACGTTAAGAAAATTAAATTTAGAGAAAAAATTTTAAAAATTAAAAAACATGAAAATTAATAATTAGTTTATCACGCTTATTTTTATTAATGACAGATTATTTAGTTTATGAATTTTGTCCTTAAATTTAACATTACTCTTTATAATTAAAGACTTATCTATTAAACATTACTCTCACTTTATCTTGTGAAAGTTTCACTTTGCTTGCTGTGAAAATCAAATCATTTCACTTTATTCGCCAATTTGTTTCATGAATGTTAAATAAATAGATAATGTTAAAGAGAATAAGTTTATAGGCAAGGTCTAAAATATCGATATTATCCTGATATTTCCATCGAAGTTTCTGTGTTTTTGAACTACCGATATTTCTAATATCATCGATATTTTATACCTTAATAGGAACTCTATGTGGTACTAAGTCACTCATGTATCTTACCATGCAATGTATAAAGTGTAAAATATTGTACTAATTCATTATATATAAATGATTATGGTGTGTTTAAACTTCTTTCATTAATTATTACATATTTTCTACACTCATAATGTTTGCCAGCTCGCTATATAATCAACTTAAATCAGTTAAATCCATCATGCAATGCATTTCCTTCCAATTTTTTGTGATAAACTAATAGATAATTGACTAAATAAAACATCCTGCAAAGTTTCAATAAAAATTTCCAAGTTTTTCTTACAATTTTCGTGGTTTTTATTCAATTTTTATCAATATCGATAATATCCTGATATTTCCATCGAAATTTCCGTATTTTTGGACTACCGATATTTCCGATATCATCGATATTTTAAACCTTGTTTACAGAAAAAATTTTAAAAATTAAATAATATGAAAGGTCATTATTAATTTATTACTTAAGCATTAATATTTCATGTCATTTTGACAAAAATGAGTCATTGCCTTTATCTTTGAAATTGAAAGGCCTATGTTGTAGAAGTAAATAGTATGAAATAACTTGATTATATTAAGAAATCAGTCAAAGTTAAGACTTTTCAAATAAGAAATACAGACGGTACTAAATAACAAATCAATAAATAAGCCTAAAACCCTACGAAATAAAAAATAAAAAAGCCCTCGCAAATGTCCGTCTCTCAGTCTCAGCAGCATCCCTCTCTTCATTCGAACATCAAAGCGCTCTCTTCTCTCTCTCCTCCGAGAAATGAATTTGCGGCACTTGATTTCCAGGCAAGCAGTAAACAATGCTTCAAAAGTCAGTGGAACGTTGCGATCGCTGCATGCTTTCACAACCATAGCAGCAGACCCAGTAACTCATTACATTCGTCCACCCGGCTATGGCGGCTCTAAACCCCTCAAGAACCCTAATTTCCCAAAACCCATTTCCCATTTCACCGGTACATTCACTCTGCTCAAGCTCAAGCACAAGCTGTTGATTCCGAGGATTCCGAGCAGGAGGAAGACGAAGCCGTTCGCGATTTCCTGTCCCGGTTCGTGTGGATCATGCGACAGAAGCTCTCCGAATTGTACCCGGGATCCGATAAGGCAACCGTCGACGGCATGCTGTTGATTATTGTGGAAAGAGTTGTGGCGGAGATGGAGAAAGGCGGCATTGGGCAGATGCTCGGTTCGTCGCAATACACGGATGATTTTAGTGAGGATTTGTGGAGGACGGTGTGGGAGGTGAGCAATATGGTGTTGGAGGACATGAGGATGGAGGCGAAAAAAGGAGAAAATGAAGGGTTTTTTACAGGAAGAGGAGGTGAAGGAGATGTGCAGATTTGCCGGTGAAGTCGGAATTCGAGGGGATATGCTTAGGGAGCTGAGGTTCAAGTGGGCACAAGAGAAGATGGAGGAAACTAAGTTTTATCTTTGCTTGGAGCGGCTTCGAGAGGGGGACAAGAAGGCGGAGGAAGCAGGGGAGGAAGTAGAAGGAATGCAAGGTGAAGCCACAAGGGAAGAGGTGAAGTCTAAGGTTGTTTCACTTCCGAAGAGGCGGGGGAAGATCAAGTACAATATATATGGTCTTGATCTGTCTGACCCCAAGTGGGTAGAAGTGGCTGATAGAATCCATGAGGCTGAAGAAATTACTTGGCCTCAGGAACCGAAATCCATATCCGGGAAATGCAAATTGGTCGAACCCAGTGCACAAGGCTCCCGCTTTACGCAGGGTCTGGGAGAGGTGAATGTCGGCTAGCTTTAACCCCATTTATGGAGAGGCTGCTCCCAAGTCTCGAACCCGAGACCTACCGCTCATGGGAAATGCAAATTGGTAACTGCGAAAATTATTCAAACGAATGTGGCGGATGACCAGTCTCCGTTTTTGGCTGAATGGATAGAGCTGCTTCAACCTAGTAGGATTGATTGGCTCAATTTGATGGATAGATTGAAAGAGCAGAACACTGGCTTATACTTCAAGGTACACACCACTATTTTGATGAAAAAGTTGTAGGGATATGGTGAGGTGAGTTGAGGTTTATACATATATGTGGCTGATAAGATAAATGATTTGTTTTAGCGGTTTAGTATAAGGAAATGCACCTTCTGATGGTGGGTTCATTAATTTCATATTGGTTATACCCGAAGCAAACGATGCTGAAAAGTTTGTTTTGTAGGTCGCAGAACTTGTACCTGATGAGAAATCCTTCTAGACAAACATTCGTGACTATTCAATTCTTATTGATGCCCATGCAAAAGAGAACCGTCTAGAAGATGCTGAGAGAATTTTGAAGAAGATGAATGAAAATGGTATCGTGCCTGATATTTTAACTACCATTAGTTTGGTTCACATGTACAGCAAGGTAGGCAATCTCGATGGTGCAAAACAAGCATTTGAAAGCTTAAGGAGCTAGGGCTTCAAACCAGATGTCAATGTCTAAATTTGGAGAGTTATTGATGAGAGAGATGGAAGCAAAAGACATCAAACCCACAAAAGAAATCTTCATGGCATTGCTTCGGTCATTTGCACAAAGGGTTATATTGGTGGAGTGCGACGAATTGCCAATATTATGCAGTTTGCAGGGTTCTAGCCGACATTGAAGTCTTATACACTGCTTGTAGAGGCATATGGGAAAGCTGGCAACCTTGATCAGGCAAGGAGCAACTTCGATTACATGATGAAAGTTGGGCACATGCCTGATGACAGATGCACTGCAAGCATGCTTGCAGCTTATGAAAAAAAGAATTTACTGGATAAAGCGTTGAATCTGTTAACACAGCTTGAAAAGGATGGATTTAAGCCTGGAGTTGCCACTTACTCTGTTCTTATAGATTGGTTGGGTAAATTGCAGCTAGTTGGTGAGGTTGAACAACTATTGGGAAAGATTGCCGAGCAAGGTGAGGCTCATCCACTAAAAGTTCATATTGGCCTTTTTGATATGTACGCTAAGGCTGGAGTCGAGAAAAAGGCACTCCAAGCATTGGGAGTATTGGAGGCTAAGAAGGATCAATTAGGTTCAGAGGAGTTTGAGAGGATCATAAACGGGCTTATAGCTGGTGGGTTTGTGCAGGATGCTCATAGGGTACGCAGTCTGATGGAGGCTCAGGGTTTTGCTCTGTCAGAGCCACTTAAGATGGCCCTAATGGCATCTCAAGCTTTTGGGCGCAAAAGGCCCTCAATGAGAAGATAGTTTGAGGGCCATTTTCAGGTGCTTCACAATCTTTTGGCTGCAAGACCACTGTTAAGATGTTTTGTAGTTTAGGAATTCATAGCTTTTTGGCCGCACATAGTCAGATAAAAGGTTCTATTCATTGCATTATCATTATGATATTTACCTTGTTTCCAATGCTCACATGGACAGAATGCAAGTCAGGTGTTGGAGCCAGAATTGGTAATAAATTGTTTGAACGCACTAAATGACTAGGCTGATTTAGTTTTGCAATCTTTCGTTTTAGCATGTTTTTGTGATTGCGTTTGAAAAGTGCTCAACTTTTAGATTTCAATGTTTAACCGATAATAGTTTCTGATCTTTCGTTGCAATGAGTCCTAAAGGGGATTGTATTTACTATGATAATTTATAAGGTGGATACAAAGCGAACATGTGTTTACCTATGGCTGATGCTGCTTAACAAACCTGAATGTGTTTATGATTTATGTGATACAAGTTGAATGGATCTTTACCGTTAACTGATACTGCATATTATTTAGAACTGTGGTTCGTCACGAGTTCTAGATCTGAAACGCCAAGAGAATCTCCAAGTTGATGGCCTACAACAAGCTAAACCATTGAAATATATGTGACCAAGTACGTATGTTTCTCTTCCCTTTCCTTATTTAATGATAATTAACTTAATTTCAAGCAAACAGTGTCATCGGGCCCTTTTGTAACCATTGGGGGGTTTGAATAAGCATAAGCATTGGGTTGTTGCCGATGCATCTATCGGCCTTTATACCAGCAGTTTCACCTTCACGTTCAGCTCACCTCATTCTGATTCTTAAGGTTTCACTTTCATTCCAGCTGCTATTATGTTCTATTCTTTCAACCACAAAATTAGTTCCTTTAATTAGTTTTTGTATGTACTCAATCCTATTGTAATAGCATGTGATTATAACAAATGTAAACCTCATTTTCCGAATCTGTATTATTATAGTAGAGTAAAACCTCTATAAATGAATAATGTTGGGACTAAGAAAAATTATTATTTTAGAGAGGAATTTTAGAGAGGTTATTACATCGATAACGTTGATGCTGGAATGCTTTTTCTTCCTTGATCTAGTAAGATTTTCCTTATGGTCGGAAAAACATCGTGAGTAAGACAGTGTTTCCTTTCCTCGTTGAGTATTGGTACATTGATATGTGGTTTGCCTTGGAAGTTCTGATATGTGCATCTGAACGATCATTTCATTCATGCCTAATGCAAAAAACACAGCCTAGTAACTGTACCGGGAATAGCTGTATTCTTATTGATATTAGTCAGATTACGTTTTTGCAGTTCTCAACTCAAAGAATCAACACACATTTGTGCCAATTTATTTCTTGCCTAAATTGTGAGAGGGATCATACAGCTTCCATGCATCAGTTCAAAATACAATGTGCATGCTTGATCGTCTGGAATGTTTTTAGTGTGCGTTTGAAGCATGTATCAATCATTTGTTCAAGCATCTTTATAATCTTGGAAGAATGTATGAGTACGGTACAATGCTAGCATTAACCGATGATCGTGAAAAAACTTTGATGTTGCTTGATTTGTACGCTTTGGAAGAATGTCAAACTGCTACTCCCAACTAGCCATCTAAAGGGTTGACATGTACAAATTATGGTGCTTGTAAAATGGGGCACCTTGCCTGTAATACTAACATGAATCCGGAATGGAGGTTTTGATTAAGGCGGTAGCTCAAGAAATCCCGGCGTATCCGATGAATCTATTCAAATTCCCTACTACGTTCTGTAATGAATTAGATGCTCTGATTTCCCAATTTTTGTGGGGGCAAAAAGGTAGTGAGAACCGCATCCATTGGGTTTCCAATAAGAGGTTATGTAGATCGAAGTCTGACGGCTGGCTTGGGTTTCAGAACTTTGAAAAGTTTAATGAAGCTCTTCTGGCTAAATAATGTTGGAGATTGATAACTAAGCTAAACACTTTGTGGGTGACCGTTCTTAAAGCTGGATATTTCCCTCATCGTTCCTTCCTTGAAGCTAAGAGAGGGAAGAGAGCTTCCTGGGCTTGGTCTAGTTTATTGGCAGGAAGAGACGTCCTACTATGAGGTGCTGGAAAATTATGAATGTCGTGATGTATACGTTTGGAATGATCGATGGCTCCCATATATCCCCTTGGGAAAATCGGAACCATTGAGCATTGTGCCAATTACTCAATATATGTGGGTGGAGTCTCTAATTAGTCCGGACATTGGGACTTGGGATATTACATTCTTGCAACCTTTTCTATCATGGAGAGACTATGATGCGATTTTAAATACTTCCATTGGTAACCCATTACTTCAGGATCTATTTGTGTGTCCTTGTGAGAAAACTGGAACATATTCGGTTCGCTCCGGTCAGTGGCAAAGCCATGATTTCTCGGGGGGAGGGACAAACTTAAAAGAATACAAGGTTAAAGAAAAATGGCAACAACTAAATTTTTTAATATAGTAATCTCTTCCATAATTAATCAATACAAACAAATTACAATTATTGCCGGCGATATTTCATGTCATGAAAACGTCACATAATAGGCTCATTATCAATCAAAGCAAATACATCTCTTTCAATGTAAACAACCATGCTATCACTCAACCATTGATCTCTCATTTTGTTACGCAATGGTGTTTTCACAATCTTCATAGCAGAAAAAGCTCTTTCCACCGAAGCGGTTGCAACTGGTAACACCAAAGTCAATGTAAGAAGCTTATACACTAACTAACATATAGCTTTCACACCTCCCGGTCTTCACTAACTCTTTTGCAAGATCACTAATTCCTCTTAATGATGAAAACTCACTATGATCTTCATATCATGAATGTAATTGTCAATGCATTATTCACCATTAATTCCTGGTTCAGCCCCAATTTCACTGCCAAACTATGAATCACCATCCCCATATTTACTTCTCCATTCCCAGCATACAAAGGCAATACAGTCACCAACATACCAACATCCGGTACTAGAGCTTCCTCACCCTCTAAAATCTTCCCCAACAAACTATAACTCTCATGATCCAATCCATTCTCTAAGAACCCGCATATCATCGAATTCCAAGAAACCAAATTTTTCTCAAGCATTATCTCGAACACTTTAGCTGCATCCTCAACCGACCCGCATTTCCCATACATTGCAATCAACGCATTGCCTACAAACACATCCGAAATCAGTCCCATCTATTGATCAACTCCACAAACACATCAATGGCATTAACAAAAAGCTCGTTTCTTGCATACCCACTAACAAGCGCATTCCACTGGAACAAGTTCTTCCTCTTCAGCCCGTCAAAAACTGAGCGGGAATCCAAGGGAGAACCGCACATTGCATACATGGTAATGATGCGTGTGTTGAGAACAAAGTCACAACTGAAAACGGTCGATGCAGATACCAAGTTATGGACTTTGCGTCCGGTTTCAATGTCCTTGTGGCGCCCGCAGGCCTGTAACAAGGCTCCCATGGCATCATTCCCTTGCTGGGAGCTGGAAACTGCATCGTGAGAGTGTACTTGAAGAATGGTCAGAGCCTCCGAGAGGTTTCCATCCTTCCCACGCCACCGTTTTATTTTTAAATTTTTAAATTTTTTTACCAGGACCAAAACGACGTCGTTTTGGCCTGGATTTAAAAAAAATAGCAATCTGCTGCTGTTACGGGCAACAAAACGGATCGCCCAGCAAACAGAGGAGATGAACCAATGGGTTTTCCGGCGAGGGGAGTGGCGAACCCAGCTCTCCAGTGGTGTTTCTCGGAGAGGGGAGTGACAGCCGCCACTCCTCGCCCTCACGTGGCTTCGCCACTGGCTCCGATTACCATTAGGCAATGACCTGTCACAATCCTCAAAGATCTCTCATGGCCACTACTTCGGCCAACATTCCAAATTTTGTTTGGCAGTGGTTGTGGAGTATGCGTGCGTTACAAAAAATTAAGTGTTTTATGTGGAAGACACTTCACGAGGCTATTGCTACCAAGGTGAATTTATTTAAAAAAAGATCTACGGATCCAACTAGATGCAATCACCACCTGGGCAAACTAGCTTTTAGTTTGTTTGGAGGCAGCTCCTGGATCGAAGTTTGATAAGAGACGCTTACTGTCTCATATTGCTTTTACTTGTTGGCACATTTGGAAAACCCGATGCAATTTCCTTTTCAACCACCAACCCATTCATCCCTCGCGGGTAGTCTTCAAAATTTCTACTTCTATTGGGACATTCAGGATTGCTACTCAGTCTCCAAGTACTCGGTTAACAAATGCTTCTCGATCCACGGTGCTTCTTGTTACGTGGACTTCTTCAAGCCCGAGGTTTATCAAGCTAAATGTGGACGCTGGTTGGAAGGTGACCCGGGCTCGAGTTTTGCTAGGGTGGTTGCACGAAACGAAGCTGGGACTTTTTTAGGTGCAGGTAGGTATCGAGTGCAAGCTATGAGTGTGGTTATGGCGAAGGCGTTGGCAGTTAAACTTGGTTGTGAGTTTGGTCATTAGTTGGGATGGCATTCTGTGGTTATTGAATTTGATTCCTTTGAAATAGTTTTAGGTTTGCGAGACTTGCCTTTGAATGGCAAGTGGGAAGCTTTCCCTCTACTTCAACAGTGCCTTCAATTGGGAAATTCTTTCCATGTCTGTCGCTGGTCTTGGATTCCAATATCAGCCAACAAGGCTGCGCAATTTTTGATGTTTTAGTGGTGTAGGGAAATGAGCAATATGGTTTGGGTTGACAGACCTCCATATTCCCTGGTTCATGTGCTTTGTAATGGCGGTCTTCCTTATCCATACTAGGTCTCTAGGAGGGTAGTGTAGGGAGTAACATTTTAGCATCAGATGCGGTGTTGAGATCCTTGTAGCTCCTTGCATTAACTAGTTGGGGTGTAATCTCTAGCTGTTTGCCTCTTTGTTGGCCTACTTGTACTTTTTTGGCTTCTTGGCCTGGTTTAATCTTATCTTGTTTTTTTTTTAAAAAAAAAAAAAAAAGTTAAGGAAGAACTGGCATTGTTCATTCAGGGACTGATTTTGATTTATTTACAACTCTGCCATTCTTTAAAAAAAAAAGCACTGTTATGTGTTGCTGTGTTTGGGCTCGATGTGGGCTTGAGCATAGGTTGGGGAATAAAGGTATGGATCGAATTTGGGTTGCCTTTCGGTTTATTTACAAAATTGCATTGTTCTAAAAATTTCTGCTTAGTGCCGCCTAGGCCACCGGCCCGATTAATGCCTAGACGTTTGAAAATTTAGAAAGGGCGCCTAGATTGCTTAGGCACCCGCCTAG